AAGTAAATTTAAAAAGAACGAAAGAAAGAAAAAATATTGAAAACACAGCTCAACGAAAATGACACAGAATACTTATTGTGCGTGTGCGCTAAGCTGCTTCAGTCGTGTCCGACTCTTTGCAACCCCACGATCTGTAGCCCTCTCGGTTCCTCTGTCCATGGGATTCTCCAGACAAGGATACTGGAGTGGGTGGCCATTTCCATCTCCAGGGGATCTTCCCCCACCCAGGGACTGAACCTGCATCTCTTAATTGGCAGGCAAGTTTTTTACCACTAGTTCCAGCTTACTAATTTCATACAAATTTATAACAAAAAATTTATAACAAAAACTAATTTAAAACAACCCCATAAAGTAGAGTAAGGATAGACAGTACACTGAAAACAGAACAGATTTCACAACTGACCACCATCTAACAAGGAGAAAGACCAGCTAATCTATAAAATCAAACCTTCCCGAGCCCATCACAGAGCTGAGGTCCTAACGCAGTAACATGAACTGCTTCCAAACCCACCAAAAAGAGTCAAAACACATGAATTATCTCCCTATAGTAGAGGCTGGAAGAAGCGATGGCTGTAGTAAAGACAGAAAGAAGAAAACAGCTTTAAAAATTTTTAAATTCTAGTGGCTGAGTGTGGACTTGTGTGGCAGGTTGTTATCACTGGGAACCCAGATACTAGGAGTTCTGCACTCACCCTAAGCAGATGTTTAACAGGTTTTCAGAAGGAAGATGAGGAGCAGGTCTGGGGACCAGAGAGTGAGCTCCCTCAGTGGTGCAGGAACAAGGCTCTGCCTGCCCCCTGCAACACTGTCGCATCCAACACAAAAGCCTTAAGCTGATGGGGGATGGCAAGGACCTCTCACTGCACCCAGGGTCCACTATTTGGGGGGAGGCCTGTAGAAGCAAGTAGTCATGTACAGACATGACAGTTGGATCATAAAGAAAGCTGAGCACTGAAGAACTGATGCTTTTGAATTGTGGTGCTAAAGAAGACTCTTGAGAGTCCCTTTGACTGTGAGGAGATCAAACCAGTCAATCTTAAAGGAGATCAACCCTGAATATTCACTGGAAGGACTAAAGCTGAACGAAGCTGAAGCTCCAATACTTTGGTCAGCTGATGCAAAGAGTCAACTCACCTGAAAAGACCCTCATACTGGGAAAAATTAAAGGCAAAAGGAGAAGGGGCCAGCAGAGGATGATATGGTTAGATAGCATCACTGATTCAATGGGTATGAATTTGAGCAGACTTTGGGAGACAGCGGAGGACAGAGGAGGCTGGCATGCTTTAGTCCATGGGGTCACAAAGATTGGAACACAATTTCTCGACTGAACAATACCAACAACAGAACCAAGTATCGTCCACCGAAAGGAGGCAGAAGAAACTGTCTTGGCCCAAGATGCAAACCGGGGATCTACAGGTGAGGAGCACAAGACTCATCCTCCAAGACCTCCCAGGTTCAAAGAGAGGCTAGCAACCATGTAGGGAGGGGAAGAGACATTGAGAAAGAACCCCCGCAGGCCCTAAGGACATAGGTCCTGCTTAAGACTAAGCTGGGACTCCCCTGGTGGGAGAGTGGATAAGAACCTGCCTGCCAAGGCAGCAGATACATGTTTCATCCCTGCTCTAGGAAGATTCCACATGCCACAGAGCAACTAAGCCTGTGCACCAGAGCTACTGAGCCCATATGCCAACAGCCTGCGCTCCGCAGCAAAAGACGCAACCGCAGTGAGAAGCCCGTGCACCATAATGAAGAGCAGCCCCTGCTCGCCACAACTAAAGAGAGCCCATGCAAAGCAATGAAGACCCAGCGAAGCCAAAAAAATTAAAAGAAAGAAGTTAGTTAATTTAAAAAATATTGCCCCTCCTTTATTAAAAAAGAAAAAGTCTGAAGCTGGAACTTCAGTAGAACTGGAACCATCACCACTTCCCCATCATGAGCCCAGCTGCTGCTGCTGCGTCGCTTCAGTCATGTCCAGCTCTGTGCAACCCCATAGACGGAACCCCACCAGGCTCCCCCATCCTTGGGATTCTTCAGGCAGGAATACTGGAGTGGGTTGCCATTTCATCCCCCAATGCATGAAAGTGAAAAGTGAAAGTGAAGTCGCTCAGTCATGTCCGACTCATAGCGACCCCATGGACTGCAGTCTACCAGGCTCCTCCGTCCATGGGATTTTCCAGGCAAGAGTACTGGAGTAGGGTGCCACTGCCTTCTCTGATGAGCCCAGCTAGCAGTAGGTAATGAGTGGCAATAAGTGTGGTAATAAGCCACAGCAGTTTACTGCTGAGAAAGGAGCAAGAAGACTAGTACAGGCATCAGGTGAATGTTAAAAGCTGCAGGTAAAGGAGAAACACCAGGAAAAGCTCTCTGCAGGCCAGATCCCACACTAAGGACAAGGTGGAACAGCTCACCACTGGAGAAACCTGGTAGTACGTTAAGAGTAACCATAGAATACGGAAACTCAACACAGAAAATCATAGAGAATCTGCAAGAGACAACCAAAAACTACTAGAGTTAATCAACGAATTCAGTAAAGTCGCAGGTTACAAAATTAATACACAGAAATCTGTTGGATTTCTATACACTAACAATGAGCTATCAGAAAGAGCTCTTAAGAAGACAATTCCATTTACAATCACATCAAAAAGAATAAGATAGGAATACATCTAGCTAAGCAAGTAAAAGACTTGTTATCAGAAAACTATAAGACACTAATGAAAGAAAATGAAGATGACACATGGAAAGATATACCTTGGCCATGGACTGGAAGAATTAATACAGTTAAAATGAGCACATTACTCAAGGCAATCTACAACTTCAATACAATCCCTAACAAATTACTAATGGCATTTTTTACAATAGTGGAACAAATAATCTTAAATTTTGTATGGAAACACATGACTCAAAACAGCCAAAATAATCTTGAGAACGAAGAACAAAGCTGAAGGTATCATGCTCCCTAAAAATTTCAAACTACACTATAAAGCTAGTCATAAAAAAAAATTAAGGTACAAAAACAGACACATAGATCAAACAAACAGAATAAAGAGCCCAGAAATGAACCCACACTTATATGGGCAATTAATCTACAACAAGGGGGCCAAGAATACACAATAGGAAAAAGACAGCCTCTTCAATAAGCAATTTTAGGAAAACTGGATGGCTACATGCAAAAGAATCAAACTGGCCCACTTTCTCACACCATGTAAAAAAATAAATTCAAAATGGATTAAAGTCTTAAATGTAAGGCCTGAAACCATAAAACTTCTACAAGAAAACACACACACAGTATGCTCTCTGGCCTTAATAACATTTTTTTTTAGCTATGTCTCCTCAGCAATGGAAACACCATCAAAAATAAACATATGGGACTACAACTAAAAGCATTTGCACAGCAAAGGAAATTAACAACAAAACAAAAAGGTCACCTACTGAATGGGAGAAGATATTTTTCAAATGATACATCTGATAAAGTTAATATCCAAAATATACAAAGAACTCATATAACTAACATTAAAAAAAAAAAAGATTAAAAAATGGGCAGAGGCTCTGAGAAGCTGAACAGACATTTTCACAAAGAAGACAGGCAACTGATAAACAGGTACATGAGAAAATGCTCAACATCACTGACCATCAGGGAGATACAAATCAAAACCTTAACGAGATATCACCTCACACCTGTCAGAATGGCTATTATCAAAAACACAACAAGTTGTAACAAGTATTGTCAAGAATGTGTAGAAAAGGGAAACCTCATACTCTACTGGTGGAATATCTATTAGTGTAGCCACTATGGAAAACAGTACGGACAGTCCTCAGAAAGTTAAAAATAGGACTACTGTATGATCCAGCAATAACTCTCCTAGGTATTTGTCCAAAGAAAATAAAAACACTAAAAAAATATACACACCCCTATGTAACATTACTTACACATCCAAGATATGGATGCACCCCAAGTACCCATGAATAGATGAATGGATAAAGTTGTGGTAGATGTATACAGTGAAATATGAGCCATAAAAGAGAATGGAATCTTGCCACTTATGACAGTATGGATGACCCAGAGGATATGATTAAGTTAGACAGAGAAAAATAAACACTGTATGATTTCACTTATATGTGGAATCTAAAAAAACAAATGAACAAGCTTAACAAAACAGAGACAGAGTTATTGACACAGAGAACAAAAAGGTGTTTACGGGAACTGGGGAGAAGGAAAGAAATAGGTGAGGTTGATTCAGAGGGACAAACTTACAGCTCCAAGAGAAATATACAATGTGGGGAACATAGCTAATAACTAAGTAATATTTTTGTGGTGACATGTAATAACTAGATTTATTGGGGTGATCATTTTGAAATGTATAAAAACACCATTCTGTTGTGTGACAGAAACCAACCCAGGGTTCTAGGTCAATTATACTTTAAAAACACAAACATACAAACAAACTCACAAAAAAGAGATCAGACTTGCAGTTATCAGAGGAAGGGGTGGGGAGGAGAGGGACCCGGAGGAAAGCAGTCAAGAGGCACAGTCTCCTGTGATGGGTGAGTGAGTCCTGGGGATGTCATGCCCAACATTACAAGTGCCATTAGCACCGCTGTATGCTATATACTAAGGTTCCTAAGAGAGCAAATCCTAAGTCATTAGCCCTGCTGTATGTTATATACTAAAGTTCCTAAGAGAATAAATCCTAAGAGTTATCACACACACACACACTGACTCACACAAGTATTTCTATTTCTTTAATTTTGTGTCTATATGAGATGATGGATGTTCACTAAACTTACTGTGACAGTCACTTCATGATGTAAGTCAAATCATTATGCTGTGCATTATAAACATACAATGCTGTATATCAATTATGTCTCAATAAAATTGGAAGGAAAAAAGAACTTAAAATATACATGTTACTCCATATTACCACCATCCTTTATTTGGAGAGGGAATGTTATAAAATGGACATAGTCATTCTCTGGGAATTCGCTCTTTGACATTCTCTTACCCGTTCCTGTAGAAGCTCCACCACCTGCTGTACACAGTCATTTACATCACAGGAGTCTGTCTTCAGCACTAATTCAGGGGCCTCTGGTTTTTCATACTCAGAGTCAATCCCAGTGAAACCTATGAAAGGCAACAGATGATAAAGAGGGTGGAAATTAAAATAGGTTTCTTTCTCATTTCTCTAAGTGTTTCACACCAGCCATATTATTAACAAGTAATTATCTACTGTCATTCTCTTAGTGATAATGATGATTTCATTGATAATGTCCCTCTTTCATAATGTTTTATAATTGATAAAGTTCCTCAACAAGAGGTTCTTGTTACATCTGGGTTGCAGCACCCCACACTCACACACACACAAAAAAATAATAAAATAGGTTTCTTTCTTCAGTGTAAGTCTCTGCTATGCTGAAGTTCATTTTTACCCTCCCCCTTTTAGGTTACAGGGTTATATTATTGAAACTTCTTTCTGGGGAGATTTCTAATTAAACTTTTGTTCCTTCTCTGAACATAAACAGTTGGTCCTCGTTATTCACAGTGATCACGTTCAATAAACCCACAAATATGGAAGTAGTGAATACTAAACCACACCTCCACCGAGAAACACGAAAGTAGTGAATACTAACCACGCCTCCAAGGAGAAACATGCAGGTGGGCTCCTGTGAGCCTCCTGTCACCAAATTTTTATCAACCAATTAATATATAACTTTTTATGAGTATTTCTTTATATGTATATATAGTTGATTCATCAACACCAAAATAATGGCTAGGAGCACTAGAATTCACGTCTGAACAAATCTTATCTAACACGTGTTATCTCCACAAGGCAGGTCAGTCTTCCTGCAGTCCAAACAACTAGATAACACTTCAGCACTATGCCAGGGAAGAGGAGTGCATTTTAAAAAGCAAACAACAAAAATTAAAAGCTAACAAACAAAAAGCTAAAACATAAAAGACATGGCACTAAACAGGCCACGTAAAGGACACTCGCTCACAGCATGAGAGCTGACACACAAAGGCCTTGTTCAAACTTGAGCTGGGAGTGTGCGCTCTGGGTGACGGAAGTGTGGCTGCTCTGTGTGTGTTTACAAGCCAAAGTACTGTGGGTACACTGATGTGGGGGTTACAAATAAACGTGAGTGAGTAGGCACATGTGCAGATCTGGAATCGTCAGATAATGAGGGTAGACAATACTTCTACCACCTTTCCTTTTCTCTGTTAAGTAAGAGCCTTGTATGAAAAAACAGGAATAAATACCAAGTGACCCAGAGCATCCAATTTCTCCACAGGGACACAGGAGATAGTGCCTAAGCCCTGGGCACAAAACCAACCTCATCGAGGTTTTTTTTTTCCTCTCAGTGCAAAAACTGATGCCAAATCAATCTGTCCATTATATTCACCAGGATTATCTGCAGCCAAATTAAAGCCCTGCAGGCTTCTTCTGCAATCACATTAAGTGTCAAGATCATATTAAGTTAATCAAGATCGACTAACTACTATTAGCTCAAGCAAAACGTAGGTAAGGAATCCTGTTATATCATCAAATGTGTTCCACAATCAAATGCAATCAATTTAGGTATTAACCACTATTTAGAGTTTCCCTATCATATATGCACTACTGTGTAACTGCTAGAAGAGAAAGAATACATGTTGCTACCACAGAATGGGCTGGCTGAGTTAAAGTACGCTATTCCTGTCTTTCACATTATTCCATACCTAAGTCATTCAGGGCCTGTTTGTCCTGAAACATCAATTCCTGGGTTAGAATGGTAAATATGAAATTAAAATCACTACTATTAAGAGGCATAGGCATCAAATGAACCAACTTATAAAACAGAAAGAGACTCACAGAATTAGAGAACGAACTTAATGACTGCAAGAGAAGGATAAGGGGAAGGGACAATTAGGGAGTTTGGGATGGACGTGTACACTATGCTGTATTTAAAATGGATAACCAAAAGGACCTACTGTATAGCACAGGGAACTCTGCTCAAAGTTATGTGGCAGCCTCGATGGGAAGGGAGCTTGGGGAAAAATGGATACATGTATTATGTATGGCTGAGGCCCTTTGCTATTCACCTGAAACTATCACAACATTGTTCACTGACTATATTCCAATATAAAATTCAAAGTTTTTTTTTTTTTCTTAAAAAGAGGCATAGGTATCAAAGGAGCCTTAAGATGAACACTACAAGTCTACAACCCACCTATTTCATTCTTTTTCTATCTCATATTCCTAAATATCACATTAAGTCCCACACCTAAGAAGAAATTTTTGCATTACTGATACTTCCAACAGTATTACTAGTGAGTCATAGTAACATAGGTAGGGAACAAACAAATCTGGTTATTTAAATCTCTAGTTCATAAGTTCTAATTCTCAAATGTAGCTACAACTTGGAATCACCAGGTCTTGCCCTCAAGAGATTCGAATTTCATCATTCTGCGGTTCAGCCTTGGCACTAGATTTTTTAAGTTCTCCTACGTGATTCTTCTGTGTAGCAAAGCTTGAAGATCACTGTGTCAGGAGGTTTGGTTTAACATTTTAAAAGTCCAGGAAGTTTCTTCCTAATTAATTTATTCCATCAGTGATTATAATAAATGTACATTGTGAGGAAAACATTTATATAAGTAGGTTATAACTACTTAAGCATTAATCGTGAAAATAATCTAGGTATTAAAGTATCTGACATAGGCATACACTTACAGTTTAGTAGTGCCATATAAAAGCCTGAGGTACACTGAATGGATGTAATACCACCTGTCCTTGAATGTTTACCATCAAGGCTCATTGCTAGGAAACTCTCTAAGCACCATTCTAACAATGAATAAATGATTTCTAAAAACTACCCAGTCAGGAACTCTAGTATCATGGCTAACCTAAAATAAATAACTGTGGGTACACTTATGCACACAGGTATACATTAATCTAAGGAACATTTTATCAATGCCTAATCAGAGGAATTAAGAAATACTTGGCAAACAAGCAACATGTAGAAAACTGAATACAAACATACTCCCAGATACAGAATGCAAACTGCAAGTGACTTAAGGTATTTTGGCTTTGGTCTTATTATTCAACTTTACTTCCCTATCACCAAATACAAACTTTTCAAATAGACAGTGGAGACCAATGTGCTGAACACATGATTTCTACTCCACCTTCCATACCATCCAACAAGCATTTACTGTGTATGTACTAAGTATTATGCTTTGGGCCATTTGTTGCTGTTCAGTCGCTCAGTCATGTCCGACTTTTTGTGACCCCATGGACTACAGCACACTAGGCTTCCCTGTCATTCACCATCTACCAGTATTTGCTCAAACTCATGTCCATTAAGTTGGTGATGCCATCAAACCATCTCATCCTCTGTTGTCCCCTTCTCCTGCCTTCAACCTTTCCCAGTAGCAGGACCTTCTCCAATCAGTAGGCACATTAGGCAGCCAAAGGACTGGAGCTTCAGCTTCAGCCTCAGTTCTTCCAATGTATATTCAGGGCTGATTTCCTTTAGTTTATGGCTGGTTTGACCTCCTTGCGGTCCAAGAGACTCTCAAGAGTGTTCACCAGCCCACAGTTCAAACGAATCAATTCTTCAGCACTCAGCCTTTTTTACTGTCCAGCTCTCACATCCACACACGACTAGTAGAAAAACCATAGCTTTGACTATACAGACTCTTGTTGGCAAAGTAACATCTCTGCTTTTTACTATGCTGTCTAGGTTTGTCATTGCTTTTCTTCCAAGGAGCAAGTGTCTTTCAATTTCATGGCTGCAGTCACTGTCTGCAGTGATTCTGGAGCCCAAGAAACCTAAGTCTGTCACTGTTTCCATTGTTTTCCCATCTATTTGCCATGAAGTAATGGGACCGGATGCTACGATCTTTGTTTTCTGAATGTTGAGTTTTAAGCCAGCTTTTTCACTCTCCTCTTTCACGTTCATCAAGAGGCTCTTTAATTCCTCTTTGCCTTCCTCCATAAGAATGGTGTCATCTGCATATCTGAGGTTATTGATATTTCTCCCTGCACTCTTAATTCCAGCTTGTGTTTCATCCAGCCCGGCATTTTGCATGATGCACTCTGTATATAAGTTAAATGAGCAAGGTGACAATATACCATTCGATGTACTCCTTTCCCAATCTGGAACCAGACCATTGTTTCATGTCCAGTTCTACCTGTTGCTTCTTGACCTGCATACAGATTTCTCAGGAGGCAGGTAAGGTGGTCTGGTATTACCATCTCTTGAAGAATTTTCCACAGGTTGCTGTGATCCACACAGTCCAAGGCTTTAGCATAGTCAATGAAGCAGAAGTAGATGTTTTTTCTGGGATTCTCTAGCTTTTTCTATGATCCAATGGATGCTGGCAATTTGATCTCTGGTTCCTCTGCCTTTTCTAAATCCAGCTTGTACATCTGGAAGTTCCCGGTTCACATACTATTGAAGCCTCACTTGGAGGATTTTTTTAAAGTAATTAATTTAATTGGAGACTAATTACTTTACTATATTACAGTGGTTTCTGCCATACATTGATATGAATCAGCCGTGGGTATATATGTGTTCCCCATCCTGAACTGCTCTCCCACCTTCGCTTGGAGAACTTTGAGCATTGCTTTGCCAGCATGTGAAATAAGGACAACTGTGCAGTACTTTGAACATTCTTTGGCATTGCCCTTCTTTGGGATAGGAATGAAAACTGACCCTTTCCAGTCTTGTGGTCACTGCTCAGTTTTCCATATTTGCTGGCATATTGAGTGTAGCACTTTCACAGCATCATCTTTTAGGATCTGAAATAGCTTAGCTGGAATTCCATCACTTCCACTAGCTTTGTTCATAGTGATGCTTCCTAAGGCCCACTTGACTACACACGACAGGATGTCTGGCTCTAGGTGAGTGATCACACCATCGTGGTTATCCAGGTCATTATGATCTTTTTTGTACAGTTCTGTATATTCTTGCCACCTCTTCTTAATATCTTCTGCTTCTATTAGGTCCATACCGTTTCTGTCCTTTACTGTGCCCATCTCTGCATGAAATGTTCCCTTGGTATCTCTAATTTTCTGGAAGAGATCTCTAGTCTTTCCCTTTCTATTGCTTTCCTCTATTTCTCTGCACTGATCACTTATAAAGGCTTTCTTATTTCTCCTTGCTGTTCTCTGGAACTTTACATTCAGATGGGTATATCTTTCCTTTCCTCCTCTGCCTTTCGTTTCTCTTCTTTTCTCAGCTATTTGTAAGGCCTCCTCAGACAACCATTTTGCCTTTCTGCATTTCTTTTTCTTTAGGATGGTTTTGATCACTGCTTCCTGTATAATGTCATGAACCTCCGTCCATAGTTCTTCAGGAACTCTGTCTATCAGATCTAATCCCTTGAATCTATTTGTCACTTCCACTGAAAGGTCCAGTGGTTTTCCCTACTTTCTTCAATTTAAGTCTGAATTTTGCAATAAGGAGTTCATGATCTGAGTCACAGTCAGCTCCCTGTCTTATTTTTACTGTCTGTATAGATCTTTTCCATCTTCAGCTACAAAGAATATAATCAATATAATCAATCTGATTTTCATATTGACCATGTGGTGGTATTAATGTGTACAGTCATCTCGTGTTGCTGGAAGAAGGTGTTTGCCCTGCTTTGCCCTGCTTCATTTTGTACTCCAAGGCCAAGCCTGCTGCTACTCCAGGTATCTCTTAACTTCCTACTTTTAGGCCATGCTTTGTGCTAAATTCTAATAACACAAAAAATGGTAAAGAGGGTGCTTATTCCAGGTGGGCAGACAAATCCCTCACCAATCCATCCTTGCAAAAACAACAAAACCAACTATAGTTAAAATAAGTAAAAGATTCAGACATCGGGATCCTGGACACATCCTTCAGCTTCTCTTTGCAAATCTCTACGACGAACAAACAGAAGTGAACACTGATCGTCAACAGAGAGAGCTGTGTGCTATTCACTCAGTCGTGTCTGACTCTTTGCAACCCCATGGGCTGTAGCCCGCCAGGCTCCTCTGTCAATGGAATTTTCCAGGAAAGAATACTGGAGTGGGTTGCCATGCCCTCCTCCAGGGATCTTCCCAACCCAGGGATCGAACCCAGGTCTCCTTCATTGCAGGCAGATTCTTTACCATCTGAGCCACCAGGGAAGTCCATGAATACTGGAGTGGGTAGCCTATCCCTTCTCCAGGGGATCTTCCCAACCCAGTAATTGAATCGGGGTCTCCTGCATTGTAGATGGATTCTTTACCAGCTGAGCTACCAGGTAAGCCAGAGAGTGACCGAGAAATTAAATGGATAAACTGGTTCCCTTCCTGTTGTCATCATATTCAGGACTGTTCTCCTTGAGTCAAGAAAGTACAGGTTTAATGGGTGAAACTGAGCTTCCAAGGTGGCAAGACTAGACACGAGCCTGCCCAAGGAACCAAATTCACCACCAGATTCAGTGGAACCCGCCCCAACTGCTCATGTGTTCCCAGGTCCAGACACAAGAGCCCAGCATAACAAGCATTTTCCTTCCTCTTCCACCCTTTCCTTTTCATGGTCAGAAGCTGGTGCCAAAATCTATACTTCATAGAGCTCCTGGGAGCTTCTGATAGCCCCAGGTTATCATATTCCCTGCTGGGAAGGCAAATAAAAGTTACCAGCATGAATTGATTCCAAACAATGTAAACTAAATATCTATCTTTGATGCTTTTTTCATGTTGGCATGCTCTCTCTTACTGTTAATAATAATAACAGACCAGGACTAATGTCAAAGGATGTCTAAAAGATAAACTGAATGACTGGTATCAAAGGCCTCAGAGGAACAAGTTCTAAATGTCTCTATGCCAAATTTTCATCAGAGTTGAAACTCGGGAAGCAGACTATAAAACTGAAAATACAAGCTGTGTGTACTTTGATATGTTAATTCAATCTAATACAACAATCAGAATGAATTCCAGATCACTCCAAGCAACATGATATACATAAGAATGAGACATTTTCCTTGTTCTCAAGATGCTTATGATTTAGGCATTTTCCCCATTCACTACGGGATTTCTTACATTTTCACTAGAACAAAGACCACAGAAGTGCTAAGCACCAAATTACACCAAATAGGTTTCCACCAGCCCTCAAAGTCCAAGTCCTCTAAAACTTGTCTTGTGGGTAGGATTTCAAGCTGATGGGTGATACTGAGTGTAAACAGTACTACTACCAACAGGTACTACTGGTTAGGCCTGAGAGATACAACTGTGTAGTAAGACCCACTGACTCTTCTCAAGGAGCTTCAGGTTGTTCGAATACTTTCATCTCTTAGAAAAGATTATCAGTCTCAGATATGGTTAAGATGAAATACTGAAGGAAAGACAAACTGGGAAAAAAGCATATTACTTACCTTTAATTTCTCCAGCCCGGGCTTTTTTGTAGAGTCCTTTGACATCCCTCTGCTCACAAACATGCAGGGGAGCATCAACAAATACTTCGAAGAAAGGTAAACTTGCACCCTCGTGAATCTGCCTTGCATTGTTTCGATCCTTAGAAAAAAGACACACGCAGAAACGTAACAAAAAATGCTCATAGGAACCAAGGGTACTGTATTAATAACAAGGACAAGGAAAAGAGCTTTTCTTGAGTTAGAGCAAAATGTATTAGTCAAGGTTTAATTTGTATTTTAAAAATATAAACTGAAAATAAAAACCCAAGAAATTAGGTTAACAAGCCCATTCTGCATTAAGAATTTTAAAAGGGTTGCTATTCTGAAAATCGGATATACTGGGAAGTTCCAGGAGGGAGAACAATAAATGCCCCACAAATGCTTTCACCTAAACTTTATGAGGAACTTGAGCCAAAGCTCGGCTCGAATGCAAATGCCATCAGGCCTCTCTCAACAACTCCCTCAACCTGAGCCTGTGCTGGCCTGAAAGTAACTTCACCAGAAATCCATTCAGAACCAAGGCTAGTTTATTCTCTTGCCACATACAAACCGCTGCAGCCACTGCATATGTCTAACATGCCCCAAACTTCATTTTTCTGCATGGCTCCTAACCCCCAACTCTGATAACTACTTCAGCGCCCAGCCTAAAATCTCTCCACCCTGTCTTCCAGAATACTCCGCCCTTTTGAGTGAACTACTTCTTCTTTCTGGTCTTAACTAAAACCAAGTCCTCCCTGATGGCTTCACGCCCCTGTGTGTTCTCAAAGTCAGGCTCCACATTCACTCTATATATTCAAGGTGGCGCCACCGTTTTTGTTGTCATTTACCATCATTCTCACGGTCCCTCCACTCAAGCCTACTTCCACTCTTACCAATGGCCACACCTCTAACTTTAAAAAGAAAATCCCCAGACATGAATGTTCTCCATCTCCCCTCTGCCATATAAATATGCCTACATCCCCCACCTTGACCTCATTCCCTCCTGCCACTCCTGCTTTCACAGATTCAAAATGCCCTACCCTACAATGGAATACTACTCAGCCATATAAAAGAATGAGGTTTTGCCATCTGGTACAACATGGATGGGCCTGGAGGGCATTATGCTGATGAAACAAGCTTGACAGAGAAAGACTAATATGGTATGGTATCACTTACACGTGGAATCTTAAAAAATACAACAAACTAGTGAATATAACAAAAAGGAAGCAACCTCACAGAGAAAAAAAAAAATCAGTGATTCCCAATGGGGAGAGGAGGGAAGGGGTAACACAGGGGTTGGGGAGAGAGATATACAAACTATTGGATACAAGATAGGCTCAAGGATGCATTGTACAACACAGGGAATGGAGCCAATATTTTGTAATAACTGTAAATGGAAAGTAACCTTTAAAGTTATACATTTAAAAAAAAAATCTCCTTCTGGATAGTCGGGGGATTTGGGATGGACATGGACACATTGCTATGATTAAAACGGATAGCGGACAAGGATCCACTGTATAGCACATAGAATTCTGCTCAATGTTGTGTGGTGGCCTGGATGGGAGGGGAGTTGGAGGGAGAATGGATACATGTGTATGCATGGCTGAGTCCCTCTGCTGTTCCCCTGAAACTGTCACAACATTGTTAATTGGCTATATCCCAATGCAAAATAAAAAGTTTTTTTTTTTTAAAAATCCCTTCCTTCTAATGAAACTTGCTCAGTCCACGAGTCCTGCTTCATCCGGAATCTTCAACCGTCTCTTTCTTCACTGGCAACAAACAAGTAAAAGTCACTACTTTCTATTAAAAACCGGTGAACAAACAAATGATACAAAAATCCCCATCATCGTGGGCACTTGCCAGGCCATTCTGCCCACATCTCACACTACTGAGCGTACATATCCCAATAATGCTACTCCCTGGGGGATCCCACGCAGGCTGCTCCTTCGACTTCACCCCTCACTGCAGCACTGGTATTGCGCACGCCTGATCAGGAGCCCACTGCTCACCCCACACAGTCCTGGAGCACTCTTCTCAACTGCTTTCACAGAGGAAACTACAACATACACACCAACTCTCCAGCGTGAACTCTGTCCGTTTCTGAAATTAAACACCCTTTTCTAACTTCCTCCTAAATACACCCTCCTGGACATCCCCCATGTACCTTGAACATGTCCAAAAACCAAACTCCTTCTCTTTTCTCCCAGGTTCTCCTTCCCACCCATACTGCCCAAATCAAGGGATAATAACACTATTCACCTAGAATCCCCAGAGTTTTCCTGGTTCCTTTGCCGTTCCATCTTGTGCATTTTATCACAAAGTCCTTCAGATTTTACCTCCAGACATTACACTAACCCACTTCTTGCCTAACTCCTGGTTCCAGCTTATTTCTCTTGTTGACAAGTGAGTCACCCTTTTAATCAGTCTGTTGGCTTCCAGCTTTGATCTTCTCAAAGGCACACTCTACACTGTACCCAGGATGATAAGATGATGCAAATAAGATGTTGCAAATTCAACCACGTCACTAAACTCTTCAGAGACCGCCCCCATAGCCATCAGGGTAAAACCGAAGCATCTCAGAATGACATGACAGGTCTTCACCTGGGCCAACATTCTCAAGTCTTGCATCCGACGTTCTATCGATAACTAACACCAATCTTTCTACCAGGCTGCTTGGATCTTATGCCTTTGGCATATCCCCTGAAAACACACTCGCCCCTCTCCTGCAGCTAGAGCAGTGTGCTCCCTCAGAATAAGCTCCAAGCTCAGTCCTCAGGAACCCTGCCCCAAATGTCCAGGCTGGCTGAGGGCCTCGCTTCCTCTGAGTTCTCAGCTCTCAGCCACTCAGCCGTGTCTGACTCTTTGTGACTCCATGGACTGCAGCCCACCAGGCTCCTCTGTCCATGGGATCTTCCAGGCAAGAAAACTGGAGTGGGTTGCCATTTCCAATTCCAGGGGATCTTCCGGACCCAGGGATCAAACCTGCATCTCTTGCGTCTCCTGTACTGGCAGGTCGATTCTTTACCACTGTGCCATCTGGGAAAGTACCCACCATGCACCTCTGTCACAGATCCTAATGTACTGAAATAATTTCACTAGCTTTATAACATTAGTTTCTGGCATAGCAGTTCAGTGGTGATCCTACTATTACAACTGTCCTTTCAAATGAAGGTGCTCCCAAGTTCCCACCTGTCACTCTCTTCTCATTCTCTATACTCTTTTGATTTCTCAGCTTCATCAAGGTTTCAACTAATTGAGTTAATGACCTCCAAAACTATATCTCAATTCTATACAACATTCCTGAGCTCCAGAACACATTTCCAAATAACCCAGTGGTCATCTTCACCTAGACACGCCACCGACACTTCAAACCTAACCCATCTAAAATGACACAGTCTTCTCCTCCCTTCCTACTCTACATCTTCTAACTCAATCAGACCATCTTCTCCTCAGAAAGCACCCTCCTTCATGTTCACCCCAAATTCAGCAATCAATCCAGGCACGACATCCCATTGATGCTACATGCTCAAGAGCTCTCATATATGCCCCATCTTTTCTATTCCCACAGCCGGTGCCTGAATTCACCCCCAAAAGCCTCCTAACTAGTCTCCTACCTCCAGACCATTCTCATTCCAGGCTTTACGGTGACCTCACTAAAATACACACCCAGAGACACCATTCCCCAGCACAATCTCAGCTCTCCACCACCCCTGGGGCAAAGTCTTCAGCAGTCTGGAGTTTGCCATGAGACTGCTGCAAATGGCTCGAGCTTCATCTTTCCTCATGTTTATCCTGCAAAACAGCCAAAACAAACTACCTGCAGTCCCCCAGGTGTAATTCCCTCACATTTCCATGCTGTTGTAACTACTGCAGTATCTCTGCTGTCTGAAATAGCTTCCTCCCTCCGGTCGAACTGGTACACTGAGTCACCCTTCATGACTCATCTCAAGCAGCACCACCTCTTTGGATCTTTCACAGCAGTTTTCATACATGTACCCGATCGCTTGCCTTAAGATCACATCTCTATGCTCCCACCAGATCACCTACCAACTCCTTAAGGACAAGAATGATCAGGCTTATTTTTACAACCAAGATGCCCAAGTTCAGGGGTGACAGAAGAATACACATATCCTATATGACTTGGTACAAATATTACTGTGGATTTTGACATGCTCTAAGCATAACCTAAACCTCATTTCCATTCTCAGTGCTTTTAGGCATGAGATCAACAAAAGTTTTGTTCCATGCTATGGAAACAACAGAGCCAAAAAAAGCATATTAGCATATACTTTTAGATACCCAGGTCTCAGTTGCTAGCTCTCCAAAGGTATCACTGACTTTTTCTTTTTCTAAGAACTGCAAAGATTCCCAGAAGGTGCAAGAATATCACCATTATTATATCACTGTGAAAACTATTTCTATCCAAGAATTGAGGAACTCTAACAACTCTCATTCTCTTACACATTTCATTATCTAGGATACTTTAAGCTGATGTATTGACACTGATCCCAGTGCTTCAGGAAAATGAAAAGTAGCTAGTCCTCAAAGAACCTTTTACGACTCCTGCCACAGTTCAACTAAGTGAATCTCTGTGATTAGCACTCAATCTCACACTTAATCTATAATCTTTACAGCTCAATTTTTTTTAAAAGTCTAAGTAACCTTTCCAGATTTATGTTACAATAATAGAATTGTGCTATTACTTATTACACCTACTGAATACTTACTACACATCAGGCTGTGCTGAGAGCAGTCAATGCATGATTTACCTAATCCTCAGAGCAACTCTAGCCTGGAAAATTCCATGGGCAGAGGAGCCTGGTGGGGCCACAAAGAGACACAGCTGATCGACTGAGCACCCACAGGCACACGCATACACACACACACACGTGTGCGCATACACACACACACAGAGCAACCCTACAAGGCAGGCATTACCTGAGCTTTGAAGGTTAAGTAAATTGGCCAAGGTCCTAACAGTAACTGGGAAAGCCGAGATTTCAGTCTCTTATTTCTGGCTTCAAAGCTGCTATCTTTAACCACTAAGATATCTCGCCTATTTTTACATATCTGGGCTCCCTAAGAGGCTATGCTATCATTTAACAAATATCTACTGTGTTCTAAATATCTACTGTGCTCCCGGATCTGGGCTTAGCGTCAAGATTAGAAAGACAAATCAGACAGAATCCCAGCCTCAAGGAGCCAGTAGGGTTTAGAGGCAGCAAAGCACAGTGGGCAAGAGCATGGATCCCAGTGGCACAGTCTGGGAGCAAATCCTTGCTCCTCCATGCAGCGTGTGAGCCTGGGTGATTTACATCTCTGTTTCCTCACCTCCACCCTCCTTACTGAGTGATGAAAACTAAGGGAGCTAGTTCATATGACAGCACTTTAAAACTGTTATCAGTACACAGTCAGTGTTCAGTAGTGCTAGCTGCCATTATTACCATTATCACTGTTATTATTACTGCTGTGGCTGCTACTAGCATCATCAACCAAAAAACTGGTATTTATAATAAAACAATGTGACCTCCCTGGTGGTACCATGGATAAGAATCCATCTGCCAATGTAGGGGACACAGGTTTGATACCTGGTCCGGAAAGAATCCACGTGGCAAGAAGCAACTAAGCCTGTATGCCAAAACTACTAAGACCACGCTCTAGGGCCCACAGGCCGCACCTAGTGAAACGCATGCACCCCAAAACCCATACGCCACTACTTCTGACCCCGCGTGCTGCACTGCTGAAGCCCATCATCCACCTAGAGCCTGAGCTCCCCGACTACAGAAGCCACCACAAGAGAAACCTGCATCCCACAATGAAGGAGTCCCCGCTCACTGCAACCAGAGAAAGCCCGCACAAAGCAACGAAGAGCCAGCACAGCCAAAGATTAATTAACTTTCTTTAAAATGTGTCATGGCACACTACCAAGGACAATCAAGACAGATACCCAGCAAAGTCTGAGAGGAGGAGATACCCAACCTGAGACTCAGAGCATGAACAGGGGTCAACTGGTGCTGAGGTGAGGGTAGGAGGAAGGAGATGAACGCCTTCTAGGCAGAGGGAAATGGAATTCTCGTGAGGAAAAGCAACATGACTTTTCTCAAAGCAATACAAAAAAGTGAATCAGTGCTGCTATGGTCTCTATGAAAAAATGTGATGAAAGATGAGCCTCGGGTATTGTGAGCAAAAGAATCCCAACAGGACACATGTTAAGAAATCTAACATTTTCCCTGGTGTTTAATGCATGTTGAGTCTTTATTATAGGTTTTGTGAACTGAAAAGTCAAACTTGAAATAATTTGGCCATTGACTTGGTCAACAACTTTGGTTATAACAGGGGCCAGGGGATGAGTGGGTCACAGCAATGCTTTTCAAAAATGAATTTACTTAGAAAGTTGCAGCACAGAAATGCTGTAGGTTAACTGTTTTAATTCGGATTTAGCCTCAAAGTACATGTCAATGTTTAGATTATTTGCTTTTTCTGATACCATGTTCTCAATATACGTAATCAGAACCACAATGGTGCAAAAGCCACATACCTGAGTATAAGGTGATATAAAACTTGTGATGCATACTAAGCCAGCATCTGCAAACAGCTTAGCTACTTCTGCGATGCGTCGAACGTTCTCTTCCCTGTCTTCAGGACTAAAGCCAAGATTTTTATTGAGACCTTGACGAATGTTGTCACCATCCAAAGTGTAGCAAGGAATACCATGGCAAACCAAGTATTCCTCCAAAGCCATGCTTACTGTGGTCTTTCCTGCTCCAGATAAGCCTAAAAGTGAACAGTCCATAGATTTCAGATAGAAAATTGAGAGGATAATTACTTAGTAATAAAGACAATCACAGGCTTAATTATATTCATTATGCAAAGCAATCTCTTAGTAACATTCTTATCCAATATTTCTCTATAAGATTTTACTATGTCTTAGCTAGAAAAACATCTATAATTTAAATATAATAAGCATTTATGTTTTAGTAATTCCTGTCTAAATCCAAAGGCATCCCAGAAATCACTGAGCTACAAAGGCTTAACCAATCTGAATATTATATTTGGTTGAGTACAGATATTCACCATGTCCTCTTGTTACCACTATTCTAAAACTGCATGCCAACTCTAAAACAAAGTTATATGCCCAAATTACTTCTGGTGAGGGGAGAAAAAGAAAAGACAAAAGTCAGTGAAATAAATATTAGAAAGTTACCTCTAGATCCCAGGATCATCACTTCCCAAAGGATCTCATGATAAAAGTAACTGAGAATCTAATTTATAACATAATTAATCTAGAAAGAAAAGAATATCCTCATTTCACCTTCCTCTACTAATGATGTTTAGTCACTAAATGATGAGAAGTGAAGGAAAAGAAAAAAGTATATTTATGCACTAACATGTGCTATCTTAGGGAGTATGTTATTACAGAATTCACAACTAAGACAGTTATGAGAGACGAGATAAAACACGGAAACCTCATGTACTGAAACTCTCGACGTGTCAGTATAGAAGGCAAACTGAAAAATAAATTTTAAAATGGATGATATGTTAAAAGGATCAATATAGCATTAGATGTTTTCTACATTAAAAACGTATATTAACAAGCACAGCAGGTAGTATATTTTCCAACAATGGCCTAAAAGCTTTTTTACAACAGGACATTGCCACTGTCCCATTCACAGGCAGAGTATACTATATTTCCCAGCCCTTGAATCTGGGCTGGACTTAAGACTCACCTATAACCAAAAGAATACAGTGAAAATGATGATGCATGACTTCCAACACCAGGTCTGAAAAAGCTGTTCAGCTTCTCTTTGGATATTTAATTGGAGAGAAGCCAGCTGTTACACAGGGCTTCCCCGGTGGCTCAGCTATAAAGAATCCACCTGCCAATGCAGAAGGCTCCAGTTTGATCCCTCGGTCAAGAAGCTCCCCTGGAGAAAAAAATGGCCATCCACTCCAGTATTCTTATCTGGAGAATCCCCTGGACAGAGGAGCCTGCCAGGCTACAGTCCACAGGGTCGGAAAGAGTCAGACTCGACTTAGCAACTACGCATCAGCTGTTAAATACTCTGAGACCACATCCTGGAGAAACGAGAAGTAGGTGTTGTAGTTGACAACCCTAGCCAGCTAAGATCCCGGCTGACATGCAGCACCTACTGTGGAGCTCCTGCGGCCACCCGACCAGCTGTGGCTTTTCGCGACTGGAGCCCAAGCCAGCAAGACTGCAACCAAGCAAGATCCAGAGGCAAACTGCCCAGCAGAGTCCTCCTGACCTCCTTACCCACACAATGGTGAGCGAATTAAAACGGCTGTTCTGCACCACTAGGTTTTGGGTAACTTGTTACGTATCAACAATGAGTGAACACAGGCTGGGGAGACTGGGTTTTCCTGTCCTTTGCTTATTATTGTTTTAAACAGGGTCTCTGTGCATGTAATGACCTAAACTAAAATGAGGTCACACAGGACGAGGATGGGCACTAAATCCAGGGACTGGTGTTTTTACAACGAGGCCATGTGAAGGCAAAAGCAGACACTGGAGTGGCACGCCTACAAGCCAGGAACGCTGAGGACCGCCAGATGCACCAGACACCAGGAGAGGGGATAGAATAGACTGTCCCTCAGAGCAGACAGAAGGAAGCCACCCTGATTTCAGGCTTCTGGCCGCTTCCTAAAACTTGTGAGAGAGGAAACTTTGGTTGTCTGAAGCCACTCAGTTTGCAGCAATTTGTTACAGTGGCCCTGGTAAAATAATATGCAAATCAACATAAAGATACAAAGAAAGCTGATCTGAAATATAATCTGAGAAGTGTTTCAAGAAAATGGTGTATAAACCTGGACAGATCTGGTTAAGCTACTGAAATGAAAGAAAAAGAAAGAAGTCATGAATTCTGTCTCCAACAATATTGTCAAAAAAAACCCAAAACACACAATTAACAAGCCTGGTTTGGTGAATGTATATAGAATATTGCCCACATCAGGGGAATACATTTTCTTTTCAAAGAGACAATTCTGAAATTGATTACATCCTAGACCTGAATGAAGGTAAGTACCAAAAAAAAAAATCTGATAAACAGAATTTATAAACATCATTAGTGGTAAAATAAAGGGAACATACTAGGTTCAAGAAAAGAAGTACTCAATTTTTTAAAGATCAATCCACCCCAAATTGATCTTTAGATACAACGTAACCCCAGACCAAATCTCAACAAGATTTTGGGGGAATTGATTAAACGGATTACAAAATTCATACACTACAAAGAGCCAAAAAAAAAAAAAAACCTCAAGATATTTCCAATGAAGAAGGTAAGAAGACTTACTCCACTGAATTTCAGGGCTTTTTTACAAACATATAGTAATTAAAACAGCGTGGTAATAAGAGAGGAATAGACAAGTAAAGTATACCAGTGGGATCCATGCAAGTTCCCAGAAACCCACACATAAGTAGAAACCTGATCTATGACAGCTGGCAGAGCAGATCAGAGAGAAAAAGGATACCCTCATCAATATATTATCTTGGGAAAACTGATTATCTACATGGAAAAAAAAGAAAATGGATCCCTCCCCCACACTACATACAAAAACCAATCACAGGAAGATAAAGAGCCTAAAAAGGCAGATACAGGACTTTGCTGGCAAAAGTCCTCTAGTCAAGGCTATGGTTTTTCCAGTAGTCATGTATGGATGTGAGAGCTGGACAATAAAGAAGGCTGAGCCCCGAAGAACTGATGCTTTTGAACTGTGCTGCTGGAGAAGACTCTTAGGGTCCCTTGAACTGTAAGGAGATCCAACCAGCCCATCCTAAAGGAAATCAGTCCTGAATATTCATTGGAAGGCCTGATGCTGAAGCTGAAGCTCCAATACTTCGGCCACCTGATGCAAAGAACTGACTCATTGGAAAAGACCATGATGCTGGGAAAGATTGAGGGCAGGAGGAGAAGGGGCGACAGAAGATGAGATGGTTGGGTGGCATCACTGACTCAATGGAGATGAGTCTGAGCAAACTCCAGGAGATAGTGAAGGACAGGGAAGCCTGTTGTGCTGCAGTCCACGGGGTCGCAGTCAGACATGACTGAACGACTGAACAACAACAAAGAGCCTAAATGAGAAAAGCAAAACTTCTCAAAGAAATTATAGGAAAAGTAATAATTCTTCATGAATGCAGGTTAAAAGAAAAGCTCATAAGGAGCAGAAAAAAGTCACAACATTTAATAGAAGAAAATGGAGTAATGTTTTAAGAATTCTAAGACACAGAAAGTAGGAACCAAATACATATTTTACCCAACCAAGTTGTCATAAAAGACGGGTAGACATTCTCAAACATAACAACTCAGGGAATGCAGGATCTAACAGAAAACCATCTTACAAAAACCACTTCAAAAATACAGACCATAGAAACGTGACTCAAAGAAACAGCTCATGAGCAGACATGCTGTAATAAAAGAACTGATGATTAGGTGGTAAGGGTGAATTAATTTACTTACAGAACTCAAATACAAACAACTATGTATATTTAAGATTTGGAACAGAATATGTTACAAGCATGCTCAGTCGAGTCTGACTCTTTGTGACCGCACAGACTATAGCCCTCCAGGCCCCTCTGCCCATAGGATTCTCCAGACAAGAACACTGGAGTGGGTAGCCATTTCCTTCTCCAGGTGATCTTCCCAACCCAGGGATCAAACCCACATCTCTTGCATCTCCTGCACTGATAGCCAGATTCTTTACCACTGCATCACCCAGAAAGCCCATTACAAGTCTAGACAATGTAAACATAACAATTTAACATCAGTCTCAAGTTAAGAATGAGGAAATGGGAAGAACACAAAAGTGCCACATACAGAAACATATCACCTATCTACAACTGAAACTTTTAATCTATAAAAACAAAAAATGGGAATGCTGCTTTTTGGCAATCAGCAAAAATTTTAAGGATGAGTAATATCTGCGTTGACAAGACACTGGAAGATGGACCCTTGTCCACATTAGGAAAATAAACAGGTCCAAATTTTAGCGGGTTGTGTGGCTGTTAGCATAAGTGATGCCATCTTGGGCCAGTACAGTTCCTCCTGTCCTTCCACTGACCCTACCCAGGCCTGTACTTCACTTCTCTGTCATCAAGAATTTGCAGTTAATAGATACTGTTTAAAGATTATTAGGTCCAGGAGGCATCTGTGTTCTGTTAATCCCCAACAATGATGAGGACCTTAGCTAACATACTCCTGGTACCCAGAAGACTAGTTACCCATTCATAAATATTGACTTAAGAATGTACTTCCTATGTCCATGCACATACTCCCATGCCCTATGTTAACTATCAAATTGTCCCAGGGGGCCCTTGGCAGTGCAGAGTGCAGCTGCGAATGCTTCCAGATCACTGCCAGATCCCGCCCCGTGAGTAGGTTACCCTATAATAAACTGATCCATTGATTATATGGAACTGCCTGCCTTGTTATTCAGTCTCAAGATACCTTCTCAATTCAGTAAGCACTCTTCATTCTCTCTGTCCTCCAATATGGGTAAACTGGCAAGATGCATCAAAATTTTAAATCAAACTCCTAGAAGTGAAAAAATCCATCATTTTTAAAACTACCTACAAAACCTGGATCAATTTACCGTCTCCAAGACAGACTCTGGAAAAATCAACACAAGAATCAATCAGAGGCCAAAGCAAAAGAAGAGTGATAGAAAATGTGAAATTCTTCACCACTCATTCTTTCTCCTCATGTGGTCTACATTATTAGCATCTTGAAGGCAGAATCCAGTTCGTATTTGCATGCAGAAGTTAACAGAATGTAAAGTGATTTTAAGATGCATTCTGATTTTTCCCCTTTAACAGCAATTTTATAAAGAACAAGAGGAATTACCAAAAGAAAATATGTTATTACTGAGTAGCTCTAGTATGATGCTCCAGATACAACAGGACTCAAAATTGAAATATGCTTATTCCCAGGTCAAGGCTGTCTATAATAAACACTGCTTTAGAAAAACTGGTTAACTCTGGACCGTACCTGTCAGCCAAACTGTACAACCACGAAAGCCGCCTCTGGTCCCCACCACTTGTCCTCTCTTGTTTCTGCTGACATGGTGGGCTTGATAGGTGACATTAGTTGCTCTCTGCATCCCCTGGGAAAAAGGGGGGAAAAAAGAAAGAATTTTGGTCTACCTGAGTCTCTTAAAAGGTAAACATATATTCCTTGCAAACATACAGTAACTGCCCTATTTAACATGACAAAAGCAAGGAAGAAAGATTAATACTAACAGCTTTTCCTTTCTTTAGAGAACCTGGCACAGCGTCCAGTTCTTTACATACACCAACTGATTTAGTCTGCACAGCTCCCCAAAGATGCACAAAGTCCTACTACTATGGTTTTCCAGATTAAGGTGTTAAACCTGAGAAAAGTTAAACCTGCCCCAGTTCCCATAACTTGTGAATGGTGGACTCCAGAGCCCCGTCTTCTCATTCATTCATTCATTCATTCATTTAATCATTCATTCAGCCAGTGATTCCCGGGGCCATACTTGTAAACCAAGTGAACAAAACAGGTCCCCTACCCTCATTGAGCTAACATTCCACTGGGAGACAGACTAATAAAACTTAATTATTAAATCAGAGAGTGACAAGTGCTCTCTGAAAATAAAACAGGGTAAAACTGGAAAGAGAGATAGGGGATGAGTGCCTCTTTAAACAGGATGATCAGGAAAAGCCTCTTGAGTAGGTGGCATCTGAGCAGATTCCTGAATGAGGTATGGAAGGGATCTCTGCAGGTATCACAAAATGGGTAACGGAAAAAAAAAAAGAAAAAAGGAATGCAACTGGTGGCTCAGTGGTAAAGAATCCACCTGCCAATGCAGGAGTCACATGTTCGATCCCTGGTCCAGGAAGATCCCACATGCTGCAGAGGAACGAAGCCTGTGCGCCACAAATACTGCAGCCTGTGTGCCTTAGAGCCTGTGCTCGGCAACAAGAGAAATCACTGCAACGAGAAGCCCACGCCCTGCAGTGAAGAACAGCCCCAGATTGCCACAGCTAGGAAAAAGCCCAAACAGCAACGAAGATGCAGCACAATCAAAAATAACTGAGTAAAATAAAATTATTTTTAAAAAGACAGGCAAAAACAAGTGGTAGTGAAGATACGGGCAAACTGAAATCCACATGTTTGCTGATGGAAACGTACAGCCACTTTGGAAAAGAGCAGGTCCACAGAACATTAAATATAATTACCAAGTGATCCCCACTCCTAGATTTACACTCGCAAGAAGTGAAAACAAGTCCACACGAAACTTGTACACATATGTTCTAACAGTTGATTCACAAAAGCCAATGGGTCAAACAACCCAACTGTGCATCACAATAATTAAACAAAATGCTTTTTTTTTTTAATTGTATGGCATATCCATATGAGGAAATACCATTTGGTAATAAAAAGGAATAAAGTACCAATACATTCTATAATATGGACAAACCTCAAAAACATTATACTAAATGAAAGACGCTGGTAACAAAAGCCACATATTGCACAATTCCATTTGTTAATATGTGAACCATCCAGAACAGGAAAATTTAGAGGGATAGAAAGTAGATTAGTGACTGCCTCAAACTGGATGTTAAGTGCCTTCTAATGGGAACGGGATTCTTTTCCAGGGTGATTAAAATGCTCTAAAATTGACTGTGCTGATGGTTGCACAACTCTGTAAATATACTAAATAAACAATGTGTATTTACAAATCGTATATTTTAAATGGGTAAACTGAATGGTAGGCAAATTTACCTCAATAAAGTTGTTTTCTAAAATTGAAAATATGAATCATGTAGGTTCTATTTTGCCCTCCCATGGAGCAAAAACATAATTATAGGGCCTTTCCAACGAGTTATGCCTTTATAAAATAAGTGTCAGCAGTCTTTTAATTGGGTGTTTGCATCTGATTCTTCGTATAGCTCTTCTTTTTCAACACAATTTTATTCATCATTCATTCAAAGATATTTACTGAATGCACACTACATGCTTGATATTCTTCTAGGTTCTGATGAAAATGCCAATAAAATCACTGTCCTCCTGAGGCCTTTCTAATCCTCCCTGCCAAGGCAGGAGTTCTCAAAGCCTGGTCCCTAACCAGGAGCTTTGGCATCTCCTGGGAAATGCTGGTAAAGAATCCACCTGCCAAGGCAGGAGACACAAGTTCAATCCTGAGGTCTGGAATATCCCCTGGAGGAGGAAATGGCAACTCACTCCAGTCTTCTAGCCTGGAAAATTCCATGGACAGTGGAGTCTGACAGGCTACAGTCCATGGGATCACAGAGTCGGACCCCATTGAGTGACTGAGCAAGCACATGTGGGAAATGCCAGAAATGCAAATTATCAGAACCGATCCCAGGCAAACTAAGTCAGAAACTTTGGGATGAAGCCCAACAATCTGCATTTTAAAGCCTTCAAGTGACTCCAATGCCAATTTAAGTTTGAGAACCCATTGGGAAAACAGAGGAGAGAAAATACACCAAGATAAATACTTTGGAAATTCTGTAAGTTAGAAATAAGCATCAAACAGAAGGAGAATGTAAATAAAGCCAAAAATGAGAAGAAGCATCAGAGGAAGGGTGATGTTTAGACAGGGTGGCCAGGGAAGGCTTCAGCCAGAATAAGGCACTGAAGGTCTCTGAGGACCTCTGAGGGAAGCCCCTTCCAGACTGGGAACAGCAAGTGCAGAGAAGTAACGGGAGATCCAGAATGACTGCTGGGTGGCTGGAACAAGGCATCTGAAGGCACCAATCATTCATTTAAAGCCAGAGCGGTGGCTGTGACTGTGTGCTTCCACAGCCACATGAGTGGCTCAGGCTGATGCATGAAAGTCACAGATGGATTCAACCTTGACCCAGAGGCCATCAAAACGGGGAACAAACACCCTCACAGGTATACACATATGGACTTTGAAAAGGGACTATTTTTCCATCGAGATCTTCAACTTCCAGATGTATTCTTATCTCAAACTGGCTAGCCTAAAGAAGTGCCTGAGGTTCAGAATCTTTCCTCCTCTCCCTGCACAATCGCCGGGGTATGCAGGAGAAAGTATCTCTGTCCATCTGCCTCTTACTGTCTATTTCTCATTACCTTTGGGAGTTGGGGGGATTCTCAGGAGCCAAAAGGACCCCTTCCCCACTAACCATCTCATTAACGGATATACTTCCAATAATCACGAAGAATGCTAATAGGGGTCTCCCATTTCATTTCCATTAAACTGACGCAGCAGACATAGCTTTCCGGTTCTGCATTTCCAGGATTTTAAACAAAACACGGGGTATCAGACACAGACATCTGCATCTCTTGACAAGCAATGTCACCTCTTTCCTGAAGTGTCCAGTTTCAGCTCCCAGCCAGGCATCCTGGGAGGAGACAGAAGCTGAGTCTGCTGAAAGGGGACACAGCAGGAATGGGGGGACCAGGAGGGTGCTACACACGCTAACTGTCTATACTTGCAAAACCTGTTCCACTTGGTCATTTGGTTTGGGAATGTTTTTCCAAGTTACTTTGCTTTAGGGCAAGAAGAAACATGTATCTAATGAATTTTACTTCATTTTGGCACCATAAAATACCTTCTGCTTTCCTTAAAATTGAGTAGAATGTTAAAAAAAAAACACAAAAACTGAGAAGCTATAAACTGCAGAGGATGTGGTTGACAGAAGATATAGGATAAGACTGTTTTAATCACTAGGAAAGTATGCTCCCTCCAGGCCTCTTGCCACCTACGTTTAAAAAAATTCTGGCAGCCAAAATGGCAGTCTGGGTACAAGGAGGCTTACTGTTTATGGGTGTTTGATATTTTCCATATTAAAAAAGAAACTTTCAAAAACATTTGCCACAATCTCCTAATTCCAAGTTTTTCAGAATAAACCAAAGAACATTTTTAAAATCTATTACAATGGCATGACGGTAGGTATATGCCTGAATTTCACTAAAATTTTAAAGGCCATTTCTGTATGTAACCTAGGGCCTCTTCCCTTTCCATCCCACTCTAGCCAAATCCTGCCTATAATTCTGCTGGGAAAACTTGACATTAGTGACTAAGGGCCATGAGTGAGTTATTTCCTTCCAACTCTCCACTCCTGTTCTCAGAGTCTTCAATGGCCTAGTTTCTAGCCACAGAGCAGCAAAGTCAGGCTTATTCTTTCCTAATAGTATGGGTGGTTTGAAGTAATATTTGGCTTGGTGCATGTACAGCCAGAGAGTCACTGTAACATTTACTGCCCATAGGATTCATTTGTTGTTTTATACTTTCAGGAGTCTCTTTGTATACAGTTTTTACTTTCTTGGGAGAGTTGGTCAAGCACTATGAGTTAGATTCTTTGTGTTTTTCACAGCCTCCAACCTCTTTTCTTGAGCCTAGTCTGTGCTCAGTAGAAGTCAGATATAAGGCATTTAAAGTGTGATTTGTGTTCTCTGTATAACTTGCAAATGAACTGACAACTGACATTCACAAATTTTAAGAACAGCAGAACTGGGACAATTCATTTCCAGAGAATTCCTTCTCTTTCTCTGATTGGGACTAAAAGACTCAACTAGAACTAAATGATTACCAGTCCTATTACCAGGCTAAAGTCAGGTGGCCTCCCATATTTGCGGCATACATTTTCTACACCTGCTGCTGCTGTCCTCAACATCCACACAAGTGGCCCTGTGCCCCTTTGTTGACCCTTAATTTGCCATGGACAGAGAGGCCTGGCAGAGCTACAGTCCACGACACAGGAGAAGAATTTTAGCAAGTAAAACAAAAACAAAGCAGCAACTTCCACACGGGATGCTTTGTTATTCTATCTACTTCCCGAAGGAACAAACGAACTTCTCCCATGATGATATTTAGAGAATTTCAAGGTCTGTGAGTTTATTCTGATTTTATGAAGATCTCTACATTTTTAAGTCGAATTTGCAAAGACACAAAGCATATACCAAATAACAAGAGTAATTCTAGACTTCAACATCCATCACACATCCCACCATCCACCTTAAACTGACTGCCAAACTGTGTATTCCTCAATAGGGAACACCTCAAATGGTCACAGGCACGTTTGTTTTACATCCAAATTTACAGTGAGTAAACCGGAGAGATGGTAGAGCACCACATGGGCAAACTGA